TCCCTCCTCCTCCCAGTATTGCAGCGAACCTCAGCACGTGAGCAAGGTAGCCAACGGACTCATATCATCATCCAGGTGTCAGCCCCTCCACCCATGGCCTCAGAAAGCCAACCAAAAGGGAGTGCGAACGGGTAAAGAGACGCGGAAAGAGTCGTAGTCGGTAGTGGAAGCCGCGGCTTCTATGGCGGTTCGTTGCTGAAAGTGCGATCGCGAAAGATCGTTGTCCGGGGACTTTCTCCCAAAGCGCGAGACGAGACGCCCTTGCGGGCGCTCTGTGCGTAAGCTTCGTTGCGATTCTTCGAGCGAGGAACGTTGGAAGAAGAAAGAGGTGGGTGACGGAAACTTTTTAACATGGGGCGGAGGCCGGGGGCCGAGCTAGGCGCGCTAGGCAGAAGCGGACTGGCGCCTGCAAGGGTGCCTGGAGAGCTTTGGTGCGCCTGTTTCTTTGCTGAGCGCGTCGTCGGTGAAGAACATAAAGTCATCTGGTCTCCTGCGCGCGTAGCCACACTATTCACTGCTGCCGGTCTCGAAACATCCCCACGTGACTGGAAAGTTCCATACGAGCGCGTACGAATTACTTTCTCGTCTAAGCTTGGGATCAACACCGCAACCTCGCGCAAAGCTTCGCAACAACCAACACCCGTACTTCGAACGCGCCCAGATACAGGGACGTAATCACAAGAGATGGCTCTTTTCGGTCAGGCCGCACCGGCTGCATCTGCTAGCTCCACCACCGGCGACACCAGCAAAGACGTCGAAGTCCCGGCCGGCCAACTGCCCAGCGACAGCATATCTGACCTCCAATTCTCGCCAACGAACGACTTCCTCGCCGTGGGCAGCTGGGACAAGAAAGTCTACATCTACGAGGTCAACGGCAATGGCGCGCAAGGAAAGTGGATATTCGAATGCCAGGGTCATGTTCTGGGTCTCGGATGGTCAAAGGTACGTTTAGCAACATGTCTGGCAGTCACGTCCGAATACTAACATAATCAGGATGGCACTCGTATAGCAGCCGGCGACTCAACAGGCATGCTCAACATCGTCGACTTCCGCACTGCCCCCGCCAGCGGCACCGTCCCTGCACAACAAGCCAAAGCTCACGAGAACGGCATCAAGTGCGTCCGCTGGTTCCAGACCGGCGGCAAAGACTATGTCGCGACTGGTTCCTGGGACAAGACCGTCAAGTTCTGGGACCTCCAGGGTGCCGAGCCCGTCGGCACTCTGACATGTCAGGAGCGCGTCTACAGCATGGACATCAAGGATCAATTGCTCGTCATCGCAACCGCCGAGCGCCACATCCACATGGTCAACCTCTCGAACCCCACAACCATCTACAAGACCATCACCAGTCCTCTCAAGTGGCAGACAAGGGCCGTGAGCTGCTTCACGGATGCGACTGGCTTTGCCGTCGGCTCCATCGAAGGACGATGCGCCATTCAATACGTCGAAGACAAGGACACCAGGTAAGCATTCCCACGTCTACATATTTCACCACACCATCTAACTCATACCTAGCCTCAACTTCTCCTTCAAATGCCACCGCCAGCAAGACCCCGCCAACCGCGACATCGCAAAGGTCCACTCCGTAAACGCCATCTCCTTCCACCCACAACACGGCACCTTCTCCACCGCCGGCTCCGACGGCACCTTCCACTTCTGGGACAAGGACGCCAAGCACCGTCTCAAGGGCTACCCCGAAGTCGGCGGCAGCATCGTCGCGACCGGCTTCAGCAAGGACGGCAACATCTTCGCCTACGCCGTCAGCTACGACTGGAGCAAGGGATACGGTGGAAACACGCAAAACTACCCTATCAAGATCAAACTTCACCCCATTCTGGGAGACGAGTGCAAGCCTAGGCCTGGAAGTAAGAAGAGGTAATCCCTGAGTAACTCGGGATTTCCTTTTTTTCTTTCCTGTTTGATTCGTTGGCGCTTTTGCTGACAACGCGTGTCTGAAGAAGCGGAGATGAGAGCGGAGACGACAGCGGAGACGAGAGAGAAGGCGAAAGCGGCAGGCATCGAAGCTTTGTTGGCTGCGAGTATGCCGCCCGGAAGGCCAAGTCGTCGATTACGGGGTCTATAAGAACGGTGCGTGCGTACTTGGTCTGTACAGATCGACATTGCTCGGCCGCATGCTACGTACTCTCTGTGCTTCGATCAAACGATATCACGGTGTTTGATGTTTTTTCTTGGTTTCCTGCATTAGCGTTCAAGGGACTGGCGTATAGAGAGATATAGTATCATGGGCTGTGGAGGCTCCAGAGTAGGATAGGCAGGAAAATGTAATCTTGTTGCTGTATAGGTTGCGTGTTGACTGTGACTGTGGGGTACTTTGACATGCCGTGCTCGCGTTGTCGTCTGGAAGAGTGCAGTGTATTGATCACGCGGTCAAACCCTCAGGTTTGCGAGCAGAGACAAGAGTGCCCCAGATTAAGCACGCATGATTGCTCACAGTAACTGCTTGACAGCAAACCTGATCCTTCTAGGTAGATATAAACTCCTCCATCTCCCCTCCATCCTCTTCTCTAAGCAGTCAACCTCTACCCAACTCACTCACCCCTCCCCCTTCCCTCCCATTTTTCCACATCCCCACCGCCATGCTAACAACCACCCAGTGAAGCAGCTCACGGTTCGACCAGTCCATCCCACCAACCATCCGTTCGCGAGCACGCTGCTCCCCCCACGCTCGCCCCCCGCATCCCTCGTCCATCACCATTTCCGCGTTCCAAGTTATCACGCCTCTCTGCTCCTCCCAGCCCGGTTCACCGGTACGCAGACGCACTCCATCACCACCCCAATGTCTTTTCCAATACCAGTACCGGCTTTAAACTGAATAAACTGAACAATGAATACCCCATCTCAGGTCAGGGGGATCTAGCGAGTCCTCTGACCCTTGCTTCCGCGCGGAAGGACTCCCACCGTCTTTTCCTCATCTCAGTTAGATGAGGGGTAGACAACCACACCCGTATGCACAAGGAAACGCTGACCTAGCCCCCAGAGAAGGGAATTTGCCAGAGGGGTATTCGTGTGTATGGGTGTGTTCACCTGTATCCTTTACACTATTTCCTTTAGGGATTGCGAGGGACGGGATGTGCGGAGGAGGTAAGTGGTATTTCCCTTTTTTTTTCTTGTGGGGATGAGTGGTGGGTAGGTGGTTGTGTGGGATGGAAGATTGATGTGTTTGGCTTGGGTTAGACAGAGCCCTGAAAAGGCTCGATTGAGGTGAGTCTTGTCGCTTTGGAACGTGAGAGCCTTGACCGTGAACAGAACGCGTTATCGGTATTTGGAAAGGAATGGGGCAGTCCAGGATGAAAGGGGAAATGGAAAGCTGCGTAGACAATGTCTCGGGCTGGTGATTTGCGGTGTGTGCTTTCAAGATAGGCTGAAGATAAAAAACCCCGAATCAAGCTTCGTTGCTTCCTTGAAAGGGCAGAATACACAATGCGGCATGGTCATATTGTGGTTACGCCCTTCATATTCCAAATATGGATGTCGTGACTCCATCGCAACCACGGTACGCAACTTCCACGCCCAACATCAGCAATGCACACCTGCCATATAAGACTCGTTTATACGACGCTCTCATTCCTTTAAATCATCTACAGTCTCCCCTACACCTCACACTCCGCTCCCCAGTCACCAACCCACAACAACTCCCAAAATGCGCCTCCGCAAAATCCCCCACTCCCTCGTCTTAACCGACACCGCCGCCATAGCCGCCAACACCGACTCCTCCAACCCATCATCCCGCTCCCAACGCTTCAGCACCGCCCACCACCTTGTCTCAGAAATAACGCCCGTCGTCCCATGCAACCCGCACTTCACGCACGAAACACCACCCTGGACACCCTACGGCTACACACTCTGGCACCCGCTCATCGCGTCATCCCAAAACCTGGTCGAATACCATGAGATCCTCCTCCCCAGCTTCCTGTACGAGGATTTGTTGCGTTGCCACAGCGCGTGGGTAGCCACGAACAGAATTCATGGGTCGCTGCTAAACGACGTCGTCGAAACACTGCTCTGCACTAAATCAGGCAAGAAACTCGCTGGCCTCCTCGACGGTAAGCGGCAATGGTTCATCCGCCTCGATCAGATGTCGCCGAAAGACTCGCCCATGGGCGGCAAACTACCTAGTTCCACGGCCGAAGACGTCATCACAAAGATATGCTCCAGTATGCGCGCGTACGGCTGTCTGACACGCGAGTTTGAAGACGCGAAGAAAGAAGAGAGGGAGATGGAGATTAAACTCGTGTTGAACCCATGGGATGAGGGTATGGATCCTGCAAAGGAGTTTCGCGTGTTCGTTCCGCCGCCTGCTGCGAAGACGGGGCGAGAGGCCATCGCGGCGGAATTTGAGGTTAGTGCGATTAGCCAGTATAGGTGGCCGATGGGGTTCGAAGCGCCGTGGGGGTTTGATTTGGAGCGGACTGTTGGGTTGGTTGATGTGGGAGCGGAGAAGGTGTTGGGGGATATTGTGGCGTATGCGGAGGAAGAGCTGAGTGAGGAGATTATGGGGTTGCTGTTGAGGTATGGGTTTAGTTATGATGTTGCGCTGCAGCAAGATGGGAGTGTGCAGTTGGTAGAGATCAACCCTTTTGGCGCGCTGTCTGGTTGTGGGGCTTGTTTGTTCAATTGGGTTTTGGATGGGAGGGTGCTGTATGGGTTGGAAGAGCCACAGTTCACTGTGACGGTGGAGGGAGAGTAAAGTAGATGGCTCGATACAGGTGTATATGCAGTTTGCACTATGTACTTGGGCTTTGCGATCGGTTGATGCTGGCAGTGGTTTCTACAGACAGGGAGATCTCTGGCTTGCTATAATTCTCTCGGACGCGGCGTGTTGATTCATAGCTGTGGGGCCATGAATCATGTACTGAATTATGGTCAGTCTCGCAGTCATAACTCAAAACCAAGAAGGATCGCGGAGATGCCAGTCGCTCCCGCACTCTACAAGCGTGAAGTCAAATCTTGAGTGGGTCGACGAAGCAGCCGCTGCAACCTCACGTCTTACACCCCTCAGAAGGCATATCAGCTGCTGCCCCAGTATTACCCCTTTCGCTTGGTCTCGCATGCCTCCGCACCTCATCGCTCTTGAGAAGGTCTCCCAACGCCTTGAAGTTGACAGGCTTGGTCATAAAGTGATCGATCCCTGAACTCCACGCTTCCAGCTTAGCGCTCGACGATGCTAACCCAGTAAGTGCGACAATAGAACACCTTGGCAATTTGTTGTTTCGCTCGTATTCGCGGATGGCTCGCGTAGCGCTCATACCGTCCATGACCGGCATGGACATATCCATTAATATAACGTCGTACTTGCGCGGTCCTTCCCGATACTTGTCCACAGCTTCCTGTCCATTTGATGCCTGGTCGAATTGGAGACCATTCTTCTTCATGAACGCGACTAGGAGTCGTCGATTCAACGGGTTGTCGTCGACGATCAGTGTGTGGGATCTCACAGGGTCGTCTTCTTGAGGCGAGGTAGGCGAAGTGACCGAAGCCTGCGCAACTGTGGATCCAGCTGTAGAAGGAGCGACCGGTCTAGGTGAATCTGAATCGAGAGACTCAATGGCACTCTGCATCGACCTCATTGGTGTTGAAGGACGCGACTGTTGTGGCGGACTTTGCCACATGGGCTGTGGCGGTGGGCTAGACACACCAGTGGGTTGCAAGTTCTCAGCTGGGTGTTCGTAACGATCCAAACATCGGTTGAGAACCCAAGCGAGTTTATAAGGTCCGCACGGCTGGGTGATAATCTCTACGACCGACTCCCGATTGGTGACGCGGACGTCAGAACGCAGGGTCGCTGCCTCAAGTGCATCCATACCGACAAAGATGGTCACTGGGGCGCGCTGACCGTTGGGCCTTCGTTTGCGGATCGTAGCGAGGTAGTCAAAGGACAACTCCGGACAGATGACCATGTCGGCGTCATGACCTTCCCACTCATTCGTTTTCACGACTTCCATCTTAAGATGTGTCTCCAAGGTATATACCAGTGCGTTAGTGAAGCGTAATAGGCCTTCGTCTGTCTTTGACAGACTGTTGTCTTCAGCTGGTCTCTCCATTGTCTTGCGAAGGATGCATATTCTCCGGCCTTCGAGCCTCGGCAGATAAGACAGAAACTGCGATCGCTCCGCTGTCATCGTACCAGATACCTCCGGTCTGGCGAGAGCAAGTTTGACAATGAGCTTGGTGCCCACGTTGCGGTCACTGCTGACTTCAACCTTGCCACCGTTCGTGTCGATTATTTGGCGCACAATACTCATACCCAAGCCTGTGCCTGGCGCGTGAGGGTTCTCCTGAGAGAATGGGTGAAAGAGGCGGTTTGCAAGAAAACTAGAACTCATACCTGAGCCAGTATCCGTAATGGTGAGTGTGATCGCTGTAGGGGCATCGGCGTTTTCTGCTAGATTACTGGATCGTAGGGAAACATGAATATACCCCGTTTCAGTATACTTGACAGCGTTGCCAAACAGATTCATCACGATTCTTCTCCAAGATCCAATTGGAAACGAAAAGACCCAATCGTCATCGTAAGCCAGATCGAAAACGACGAAACGTGCTCGTCGTTGCGGAAACGACATTGCGTGTTCATCTGTAGGCGATATAGGTGCTTCCATGAGCCTGGACGTGGCTGGAATATACGATGACCCAGAAAGTACCGCTTCCACTACCTCTTCGGTTGCGATCCCGAGATCAAATGCAGAAACTTTTCTTCGCCTGCTTTTCAAGGGTTTCGAAGATAGCCGTATCGTGTTCTCATTCTTCAGTTTTTTCGAGGAGACTATCTTCTTTTCCTCGCTGATCTTGGCGTAGTCCATGAGATGGTTAATGGTATCAAGCAGCGTCGTACCGCAGGCGTGCAAAGAGTTCATCATGCTCGTCTGGAACGAGTCGAGCGGCGTATCTTTGATGAACTCCAACGTACCGAGTATTCCGTGCAAGGGCGAACGTAACTCATGTGAAATAGACGAAATAAACGTCGACTTGGCCTGTGACACATTCTTAGCTCTCGCAACATTGGCGTCTTATTCGTTTACCCACCTGATCCAAGGCTGCAGCATCTAGTCTTGAGAGCTCCCTCATGATTGAGTGACTGAAAATCTTGAAATATGCCATGTCCACAGATGCTGACAATAATCTGTATGGATCGTTGCTCCAGCAGAGACAGCCGGCGAACCATCTGGACCTTTCAAAGTCCCAAAAGGGAATGAAAGCAATACTGCGTGCTCTCGGAAACATCGCCTGTATAGCAGCCGATCCCCGCTGTGATCGATCTTTGGTCTTGCGCTTCGATAGCGGGGTAGGTGACAGATGTTCAGCAACCTTGAGGCTCGAGACCGCTTCCTCACTCGAGGACAAGGAATCGCCTTCAGCACTGAAAGTAAATATCTTGCCATGTGGGTATTCGTGAAACAGGCGAGAAAGGTCAGGTTCCAATAATGTCCCATATTCCGGCTCTTTGTCGCTCGGGGTGGCTACTCCAAGTAGCTGACACATTTTGGACGTTGAGGAGGAAGTGCCGCGGGCATACCCTTCGGTGCTGTTTGAGCTCGCTTCATCGCTGGAAGATCTAGATCGATACGATTCGGAGGGAGCTTCAGTTCCGCTCCTTGAGGCGCTGTTGTTCCGACGCTGTCCCCCGCTTGCTGCAACGCTCGCATCGAGGATGAGCACTCCATCCAGATCGCTCGAGCTCATCAATAAGTTTGCAGCACGAGAGAACATGGACTTTGAGTCGGTGGGTAAGATGGAGTCCTCTACATTGTAGCATGAAGTCAGTGCTTGTATCAGAAACTTGCAAAGTGATGTTCCTTACGTAGCGACCGAATCGACCGATGTCGGTTAGATCTGGCACGACTCGCCTTCGGTCTTGCTGATAGTGATTGGTTGGGAACAGTCTCGTGCAACTCGTCTCTTTCTTGCGCAGTCGTGGCCCTATCCGTAGGTGCTCTGTCCTTCTCATCTCGCGATGATGTAGATGATGGATCCCACAATGTTTGGGAGACTGCCATCGAATTGTGCCGAGATTCACCATCAAACGGAGCGAGAGAAGAGGCGCCTTCAGCAAATGAGACGAGACCGCGGGTGAACTGCTCCCCTCGCCTGTACTTGTCCCTGATTGTGTATGTGTTCAGGTAATTAATGACCGTAGAGCCCAGGTCCTTGAACAAAGTGATTTCCTCTTTTGAAAAACCTTCTCGAGCCTTATTGTCGAAGATACAAAGCGTTCCAACTACTGCGCCGTTCGGAGACATCAACGCGACGCTGGCGTAGAAGCGCATGTCGGAATTCCCTTGGACGTCGGTGCGAAGACATGTCCTTTGATCTGTAGTAAGATCATTGATGACAAAAACTGGGTGATCATGCCGGTCCAATTCCAAGACCTTTTCACATAGGCCCCAGCTCCGCGGAGTGCTAACATTTCCGAGCCAAAGGTCTTTTGGAGCATCACCTGGCGCTTCTGGTCGTAAGGGTAAGTCACGAGTTGCCTCTGCGAGTATATGTTGTCGTTCGTCGTCGATGAGCGATATCATGGACCGTTGTGCCCCCATACGGATGGCCGTAAGTTGGCACAAGGCTGTCAGTGTCGAGTCTAGAGACAGGCGAGGTACATGGTTTTCCAGGTTGTTAACCTGGGGGATGTTGCGGAAGGCTGCGCCATAAAGGAGAAGTACGTCGCGTTCTCTCCTCATCCCATAGCGGTCCGTCTTGGTCTCCTCGCGGCTGTCCAAATGTTGACCCATGATGCGCAGTACCAGCGACTAAACCACGAAAGGTCGGAGGCGTCCAATAGCTTTCTCAGGCTCCATGCTTCGGCGTTGCAACAGTAGATAGAAACAATAAATACTTGCATTCAACAAACATCAGACATCGTGAGGTATGAAGTGAAAGTTTGCATATCGCCACGCGAGACGAGCCGACTCAACACAGGCGGTCATAGGACTTGCGGGTCGGCAGGGAGCTAGCGTAGCTTTTCGCACCTGAGTGCGCTAATGCACTCTGGTACCTTCTCACTGGCCACCTGCGTGTGCCGCATTCCCATTGCATCTAGATTTGCCCTAGGGCATCTAGAAGTGTGTATGGACAATCTGCAATCTCGGTCCCTCAAAGTGCACTCCAATGACAGGCGAGATCGGCCTCTAACGAGGGCTAATCTCACTCGGCTACAGATGTGGCGAATCTGGCGAATCTACAGCGTGCTAGCTGTGGCTATTTGTAACGTAAGCGGCTGGCATATGCAGATACGCACTTGTGCGCGATGTGAGACATTCAGACAACGATTTGCGGATGGAAGGCTGATGATGGAAGAGCGCTGGGAGGAGGGCAGGACAACGTCAGATGACGAAGCTATTTCGGCGTCTCGATGTTAGCGCCTTGGCAAAGTCATCCGCAGGGCCGCGGGCTGCAACTTGCGTTCGCTACCCAGCAGAACTTGCGACTGCAGCACCTGAAAGACCAACGACATTGCGACACAAGTACTTCGGTATCAACAAAGTCATTGAGCTTGCGTTTTGTCGGCTTACAAAGAATGTGCTACTGAGGTAATTAGGGATAAGAAACACCAAGAGAGCCCAAAAGAGAACCGATTGAATAGGAAACATTGATCAGTCTACCTGCAACGCATCATCGTTTCTCAAACCCTGATCTCGCGCATACTCCTCATCGTCATGACCATGTACGTCTGTAACATACTTTTCGAACTCGTTGATCACTCTGGCTGCCTTTTCCAAGTGTCCATAGCGCAAAACCTCCTTCTTGAACCGTGCTAGTTGGCGAGCGGTGTTGATAGTGTTTCTAATCTGTCGTCCATTGAGTTTGTGTTGCGAAAGGATTTTAAGCTTCCGTCCGATCTCTTCGGCGTTCATGTCTTCTCCAGCCTCCGAGAGGGAATCAACAAAGTTATTCCAGACTTCCCAACGGCCCTTGCTGTCAAGAGGCGGGTAATGAAGCGCAAGCTGAATACGAGATTTGAAAGCCTCGTCGAAGGTGCCGATGCGGTTTGTCGTCAAGATCAATATCCCATCGTAGTATTCCAAAACGCGCAGGAACACAGAGACCAGCGCGTTGCGCTGGAGATCCATCTTATTCCTCTCTTCAAGAAACACGTCAGCTTCGTCCAGAAGAACGACGCAGTCCCAGGTGCTTCCAATAGACAAGGCAGATTCAAGATATTTCTCAACGCTTTCAGCATCGGTGCCAATATCGCCGCATGTCACCCTATACAATGGACGTTGCACGAGCTCAGCGATACTCTCAGCTGTAAGAGTTTTACCGGTTCCTGGTCCGCCATGTAGCAGCATAATGAGCCCTTCACCTTTTCCGTTCATGAAGTCAGTCTTGACGTCGCGGCTCTTTTCGACATGGACCGTAACGAGAGCTTCCACCAAATCCTTTTTGTCCTGATCCAAAACTAAGCGCTGTTGGAAGACTTCGCTGTTCCACTGGATGTCTCGTATATGTTCCACAAGTAATAGATCTGGGATGATGCTTAGTATTTCCACGATCGGGTGATTCTGTGTACATACTCCATTGTTTGTTGTGAAAGCCATAGCCTTTGATAGTCGCGGGTAACATGAGTAAGAATGCTTCGCTTGGGGGTTCATCGTTTTCCAACTCGTCATTACTCAGTTCGCTTCGGGTTATCGGGTCATTGGCACGGCGATGCATTAACTTGTAAAATTCGGCATCGACCATGTATCGCAGATTGGCCTGGCTGTGTGAGCAGAATCCATCCACACCGGAAATGATATCTTACAAGCTGCGATCCAGGTCCCGGCAATGGCACATCGTAATTCACGTACTTCCGTCGTCGGCAACTCCAGAAGGTGTTACCGCGCATGCGCAACATAGCTTGAACCCCGTCTTCTGCGTGGCGAATAGGATACACGGAAAGGTCCTTGATCTCCACCCGGTTCAATTTAGATGGCCATTTGACAGGCATTGTAGTGTGCTTTCGAAAGAAGTTGCCATCGTACTCCCAAGTCCAGCAGTCCATTTCCAATGTGTTTGCATTGCGTTGACGGCATGATCTCACAACAAACGCGCGGTATTCGCCATCACCCATTGTGACTACTGTATCGTTTGGTCGGAAAAGCATCGGCCAACTTCTTTGGCTGATCCACCCCGTAGCTGACAGCTGTTCCAGCTCCTCATCATCCAGAGCTAGACGCTCAGTTATGTAATCAGATAGTACCTTGAGCTCCTCCTGTTGTTGTGGCTCTAGTGCTTGTGCCAAGGGGCCGGTGAAGATATGTTTGAATTGATAAAATCCCGGATATGGGTGATCAAGATCCTGGTTGAACTCCCAGTCATCGAACGTGTCCAGGTTCTGATCCTGCAGCGTATGCAGTGCTTCTTGAAGGTTCTGTGATAACTGTAGCCTCTCCGAAGTCGCCGTCGCTATCGGTGCGTCTTGTTGAAGAACTCGAAAGTATGGCTTCATGTCAATACTTACATCGTCAGGAAACGAAGGAATGGGGATACGTGTGAATGCGTCTTTGATGTCATTGTGGTAAGCTTCGCAGTCGTAATTAACGAAGACCACAATACTGAACCCAAGACATCCGTCCAAGTAGCTTTTCACATCTCGCAGGCGGGTTTGACCATGCAAGGCTCTAGCCTGATGGTCGGTTTTGACCATAGCTGGAACGTCGAGATAGTATGATGTTGAGGAATGGCTCTCATGATGTCTTCGTGTCTGTGAACAGGTTACACAATGTATGGTAACTCGTTGCGTGACAGATTCCTCCGCTGATAGACGTGGACGCTTGGCGTTAGCCTTGGGCGGTTGTTGCGAAGAACTAGCGTCATTGCTTGCTGAAGCTTCGCCAGGGCTCCGTGGGCGTTTTGCCCTCGCTGAGGGCCCTATGTGATTTGACTCCGGATCAAACATAGGATCTAGTAAAAGTTGATTTCGGTGATGCTAGAAAGAAGAGCGCAGTCCAGATCAACTTATACATCCCACCGTCACCGGTCAGAGGGGGCTTATACGAGGGCTAAACCCATCTAGGGAAAGCTCCATCGCGCCACATGCAGCATGCAGCATGCAAACCCTGTTCCGCGTCTTAGACTTCTTAAGCTACATTCATTCCACCAATCCTTTGTTGTATTCTTGCATCACGATTTGGTAGAAAACTCCATGGATGCCTAAGACTACAACAAAACGCTATTTAACGCTACAAGTCGATTGAGTAACGTTACTGTACGGCGCAGGGGGAGAGGAAAGAATAGAGTGCGCCTTTGACTCAGACTGCGGTCTGGTTCTGGGTTGGGGAGAGGGGTGGGGTCTTGCAACATAGATATCGCTGCGCTGTGTTCAAAATAGCGGTGTAGCAATATCAAAAGAGTATTTGTGCAGTGTTTGCGCGCAGGCGCAGCGTTTATACTCAGGTAAACATAATATATCATGGCAATATTTCTGTAAGCGAAACCCCCTTCGGCGCGTTATGGTGCACATGCAAGATTCATTCCTATTCAAAGTTGAAAAAGGCGTCGTCGAATGTCGACTGCTCGGGGTTCTCATATTCGTCCATGTTGAAGAGATCTTCGAGGTTGTCCGTGTACATGGTGCCCGTGTCGTCGCTTGGATTTGAATCAGCTAGGACTGACGCCCTCGCAGCGTCAGACTTGTCGACCTCCTCAACTTCAGCGGCTCGGCTATTAGAATGCCCCAAAGCTATGAAATGCACCTTGCGGCGCTTGAAAGCGTCTGTTGTGCGGTCTTCTGAGATCGTGTACTTCAGTCCTCCGCGAAAAGATCTGTAGCCTGAGCAAGCCGTCCGCTCATCCATGATTCCTGGAGACCGATCATGAAGCTCGTCGATAGGCTGTATCCGGGCGCTTTCTGGGGATACAAAGGCAGGTGTCGTTTGCTGACGTTTGAATTTGCGCATAGCTTCTTCAGGCGTAGGCGGATAGGCGCGTGAGCTTGGGGGCCGCATCATCGGCTCGCCTCCCGGGATGTACATGTTCTGAGGATACAATCGAGGCGGCATTTCTGGGGGTGCTAGAATCGGATCGAACTTAAAGATGGGAGCTGTGTCTGAGCTCGTTATGTGTGAGCCTGTGCTCTCTTGTCCTGCACCGCTCGCAATATTTATGGCCCGTTGACTGGCTTGATCTTGGGCATCGTATGCTTGCGAGTGTGGCCTCGCTAGATGCACTAGTGCCGGACTACGCCGTGTCTGACCTTGGTTTTGGGTTTGTTGATGAGCTTGTTGAGCCTGCTTCTCTTCCGTTGATACACTGGGAAGAAGAGAATTTTGCATCTCTGGAGACATAAACATCTCACCAGGTTGATTAGACTCTGGTCGATGGTTGTAGCGCATGTCAGATTGTACTCCTCCGCCTTGTTGTGGCCCTTCGTTTGTGTCAAATGCCGCATAGTCGCGCTTCAGACGCCCTCTCTGGAGAATTGTGGCCCCTGGCGATTTAGGTACACTATCTGAGTACTCCCGAGGCCTTTTTACTGACGGATTGAATGTTGTTCCCCGTCGCGGCGAATCCAGTTTAACGGATTTACTGCTCTTCTTCTTCTTCTTTCCACCGCCCCATATCGAACTCAGGCCCCAGTCGGAGCCCTTCTCTTCCTCTTGTGCTGTACCCAGGGTGGCTTGATCTTGTCGACCGTCGTACCGCGACTTAGTGTACTGTCCACGTACTCGCTTGCCAGAAGTCTTTTGAGCAGTTTCGCGATTGTCCTTGCGTCCAAACCCCTTCTCTGCCTGGCTGAACTCAGCCCGAGAAGGTTCTGTTACGTGTGACGCTGTTTGCTCGTGCGGAGATATCAAGTTCCGGTCATGTGCATACCTCAACCCCTCAAGTGCTAGCCCTTCGGCTCCACGGTCATCCGCGAAATGTCTCGCTATGTCTTTCAGATGACGAGATGAAGGTGGACGCGGAACAAGCGGAGGAGCTACTCTAACACGCGCAGGGGACGGCGCTTGTAGTGCACGTAGTGTGCCTACCCGTTGCGGAATCGTAAGCCCCTTTAGACCCTGAGAAGCTATATTTGGGACCCTCCACGGTAGTCGTTCAAGAGTCCATTGTTCTTCTTTAGCAGCCGGTTTCGGTTGCAGCGATTGAGGGACCGTTTTTCGCTTCTGACGATATGCTCCACGCATTCGGTCCAATTCTTCCATGACCAGCGCAACAATGTAGGTAGTGGTCTAAACGGAGAGAGCTTGTAGTTCTCGCTGTGGATTGGGCTTGACCACGAAACCTTGAGTTGCCGCTCGAGAGGTGCGACTGAATGGCTGTATGGGTATTGACGCTAGTCGTATACGATCCAGTCTGCGATGGCGTGTCGGAACGACCCGGGAAGGATGACGGAAGATGGAGAGGAAAGTAGAAGAAGACTTTACTATTCCATCATAGGTTATGGGAACGACGTGCGTTGATAGGAGCGCCGTCGTTCAGAAGTATGTATCGGTGTGCATGTGCCGACGTGTGCGCAGCCCGCAGCCTGCAGCCTCTTCTCGGCACAGCCTCAGCCTTCCTGCACAGCCCACTTTTTACAACTTGCATAAGGGAAGGCTAGCGATGGCTCGCATCGCTAGATTTACAACCATTAAGCAGCGGCCCATCGTCGGCTGTAGTAGTATTGAGATTTCGACATGTCCACGATGATAGTGCGCGACTCGCATTCATCCTGGTATACACCAGCGCCAGGTCAGGAGTAGGTAGTATTAGCCAATCATATGAAGCACAGGCGAGGCTGAACATCGTAGGAACCGAAACATCGCGGCGGAAGCGTATCGGGCTGCCATCGAACACCTCAAGAATGAGCTGAACATTTCTCTCGACGATTCAGTCCCTCATAAGTTCCAAGCGTCCATAAAAGATGTCTTCAGCGTGGTGGAGAATGCCAAGAAGGATTACGAAGACAAGAGCAAGCAGGACAAGCATGCAGAGATGAGGCAATCGCTCGAGAGGCTGTCTGCGCGCATCATGTACTATGGCAAAGTCATGGATACTCTGGCGCAGCATCACCCTGAGTACGTAGCTCTGGTGTGGGGTGCCATGAAGTTCGTCCTGACCGTAGGTTATACCTTGTTCAAGCTTGCCCTACCGCTTGTGGTGTACTGACATATCGCTCCAAAGGGAGTGATCAACCGAGCGAACCTCTTCGAAAAGCTATCGCAAGCCCTCATCGCTATCGGCGACGTGCTGCCACGCATGGATCTGAGTGCAGAGCTGTACCAGACACAGTACATGGAAGCTGCACTCTCACGGCTGTTCACATACATCATCCTCTTTCTCCGCCTCTGCGTGCGCTGGTACAAGAAGAGCCCTCTGGGCCGCATCTGTTCTGCCATCAAGACACCGTTCGAGCTTGGTTACCAAGAGCTGGTGAACCATATCCAGGAGTGTTCGAAAGCGGTGGACGACCTTGCCAGCGCTGGCGCTCGAGCCGAAATCCGCGACGTCCATACGCTAGCAAGACTGCAACATGCGCAGATTTGGCAGCTCGACGCGAAGCTGGCGGAAGTGATGGAAGGGCAGAAGAAGTTTGAGGTCCATATGACTCAACTGCTGCAGATCGCGACTTCGCACAAAAGTCTAACAGCGCGGATAGGCGCGGACGTCTGCGGCATAAGTCAAACGGTATATCGTCTGGAGTTCGGTGGAGTGATGCAATTCTTCGAACCGAAGGTATTGCCCGAGACGGCCCTGCTCAAAGTGCGGTCGCTCGTGCGTCGGGACACAACACCAAGCTTGCCTAGCCCTAACGAACAGAGAGTACGCAAGACTGTCTTGAACTGGGCTTTTGGGAAGGGGTCGTCGCTTCTCATCGTTCAAGTCGGCGTTCGTGCGCAAAAGCAAGCGAAAGAGCTGGCAACGAATGTGATTCAGAATATGAAGCTCGGGAGCCAACGCGTATTCTGGAATCTGCCTTTGCATCGTACGTCTTCAGACGCGCAAACCATCGAGGAGCTGTTCAAAGGCATCATTTTCCAGGTACTTCAACACTCGGGTGATCTGTTCAACAGCTGTGCCGAGCAGTTGAACCTCTCAAAAATTCGCGCTACTCATACGGAGCGCGAATGGGTCGACCTTGTCTGCCTCCTCTTTTCCAAATTACCGACAGCCTTCGTAATAATCGAGACCGACGCGCTTCAGAAGGCCTACCGACACGATCCTGATTGGACAAAACGACTATGCGAGTATCTTCAACTCATCGCTGACCGAAGCTCAGAAGCAGGTTGTGAGCTGAAAACCCTGCTCGTCCTGTATGGAAACTCTCATCGAAGCGGTGCGGCTGCTTCAAGCTCGAAGAACGTCCGTGTCGCGACATTGCAGCCGCCAAATCCAGTACCTCCGCATCTGCGGCATGCAGCGCGTCGATCCGGTTTGGTAGCTAAAGGTTGGAAAATGCAAAGGCCAAAGGGACGAATATAGTCGGAGGTGATAGCCACTCAGTTAGAACGGAATTAAGAAATCGTAGTGTGGATGACGGCATGGAGGAAGGGAGCAGTCTGCAATCAAGGGGTGCACGTGACTTATCGATACGCACCTACCATCGCGCGAGCGCGACTGGCCATCATTTCGCGCCCGCATCATCACCTTCCCTCCCAACTTCATCCACCCAATACCCATCACATCTCAATATCGACCCCACACTACCACGCGATTTAAATTTATACCATAACTACTGAACTACGTCACCACACAATGATGCTCACGACATCCTTCTTCTCACACCAAATGCCGCACTACTCCGCATACACGCCACCGCGATCATCACCACTATCCGAGCGCTCCGCAAATGCAGCCCCACGAACCTTCGACTTTACCATGTCGTCACCTCTCAAGGAGAAGTCGGCGATGCCACAACGCGCGTTCAAGGCCAATCCAGTGATGCAAACGCGCGACGCCACGACGAAGCGCAGGAGGGATATGTTCTTCAAGCGCGTGCAGAACAACCGGGACGACAAGAAGTGGGAGTCGCGAGGCGAGCAGGTACGCGATGCCATCGTACACAGACGCGACTAGCAATGCTAATTGATGAAGCAGATCCAACAACTCGACTTCGTATCTGAGCGGAAGCGCTGGGAAGCCGAAAAAGCGCGTCAAGCACCCCAAGAGAATGACGACATCGATGAAGAGACCATGGACGACGCGCCGCTTCCTGTACTTCCACAGTACGCGTCTCAATCAGATCCCGAGATGACTGAAGCCGACTACGTCGCCGCACAAGAAGAGTACGAGCTACAACAACTGATCGCGTCAATGGAGCAAGAATCGGATGCGCGATCACAGCATTACGGTAGTGATGATGACGACTATGATTCGATATTCATGGAGTGCGCGACGGCGGGGCACGATCAGTATCAGCAACAGCAGCAACGCGCGCAAGACGCGTTCGAAGGGGACGCGATGGATATGGATATGATGGATTGTTGAAGAACCTTTCGAAATTGGAGACACTCGAGATTGACCAGAGATCGCTCTAAAGATGGCGACTTCGTGGTGACATCATAGGAACTTCGCACATGTTGTAAGACGGGAATTTGGCATCTCAGTATAACAGATTGCTTGGGGGAAGGCATCATATGTACATTGGGTATCTGGGAAGAATGAAGCAGACGACTTATCGCACAAGGAGATCACTGAGTCGGGCAGCCCTGATCCATATCCTGAAGCGCCTCCTGCGCAGCATTCATATCGCCTACCAGATCGGGCGGCGGAGAACCAGCGGCTTGCATCTACATTAATATTAGCACATGTCGCATCGCGCGTCAAAAAGCAATCACATACCTTCTGCATCCTCTCAACAATGTACTCCCTATCCTGCGCGTTGTCGTCACTATACCCTTTCCTCTCGAACCTGCCTACAATCTCCCTAACCAGCGTCTGCTGCTCCTCATACCTCTTCAAATCATCCTTCTCACACTTCTCCTTGTTCTTGTCCATCCACGCCGGGAACTTGTCGTCTAGCTCCTTCATCGGCTCGTACAAGATATCCTTGTTGGTAAGCTGCTCCATCATGCCCATGAGCACTTTACTGAAGTCTTCGTCGCCGCCCTCGCCCGCACCACCGAAACCACCAGATTCCATAGATGCGAGCATCTGCGCGAGAATGTCGTCTTGGGAGGAAGATGCGGCGGCGGAGGTTGCGGTATCAGAGGAGGACTGCATGCGCTCCATAGTCTTCTTGATGGTTTCCTGGAAGGTCTTCTCGGCCTTTGCAGCAGTCGCCTTCTCAGACGGACCAGACGCCGCTTTCTCCTTCGCCTCGCCCGCGCCCTCACTCGCATGCGCATGCGCATGTTCATGCCCAAGCGCAGGATCTTCCAACGGATTCGCGCCCCCCATCTCCGCACTCATCTCCTTCATAATCTCGTCGAACTGTTTCTGGAAGTCACCCTGGCCCAGAAGCTGCTCCATTTCCTTCTGAAGCTGTGCCTGGAACGCATCTTGGTCTTCCATCATGAGTTCCGCGGGGGAGATGTCTGAGGCTGGCCTGCCGGGCCCGGATGACGACGGCGCATCGCTGGACTTAGGGTAGGCTGCTTCTATTGACGAGGCGGTGGGAGCTTTGGCGTCGAGCTTCGTGTTTGCGAATTCGTCGAGGACATCGTCGAGGTCGGAGAGGTCGTCTTCTTCGGGGTCGGAGGCTACTTCGGCGGGGGGAGGGGCAGTGGTTGTGGGTGTGGGTTTGGCGGGTTGCTGCTCTTCCTTCTTTGTGGCTGTGTCCGCCATCTTAGTGTAGTGTAGTCTCACAGCGAGATACAGGTAAAGCTTCTATAGGGTCCAAGAAAGTACGATAGGAACAGGTAAAGAAGATCGTAGCTACCTAGACCAGACACATGCCATGTCAGCCTCGGCCCGCGCATGCGCATTGGATCACATAAGCGGGGCAGGCACACTGCGCCAAGCCCTAGCGCGGGGCAGATCGCGCATCGCACCTTCCACCTTCGCGCGACGGGATCTAGCCCCGAATCCCAACGCTGCGGCGCCCGATAATTGTTGTCAGGTCACGTGCAACCGTAACTCGACTTCACCTCGTCCTCTTACCGTCTGCAATCCTCACCTTTACCGCTATCGTAGCACGTTGACAAGCGCGACGCCACACGCTTAAGCTCGCGATATATAAGACGCCGTCTTTGCAGTTTTCGACCTATCTTTACCGCACGCTCTGTCGGTACTTCAGTACGGAAACCCACGAGACAAGCTAGAGGCGCAACGGCCAGCCTTGTATCTACACCGACACCATGTCTCTTTGCGTCAACAGGCTCTCGGAAGAGAGGTACGCGCTCTCCTTCCCCCGCGCACATGATCTCCGCTAACGCAGCAGCCAGAAAGTCATGGCGACGAGACCACCCCTTCGGCTTCTTCGCAAAGCCCATGCGCGGCTCCAACGGCATGATGGACCTGAAGCGATGGGAATGCGGCATACCAGGAAAAGAAAAGACGATATGGGAAGGCGGTTTGTTCAAGCTCGAAGTCGCATTCCCAGATGAATACCCTACAAAGCCACCGAAGTGTACGTCCGTCCCCACACATCCTCTCAGCCCATACCCGATCCTCCACCGCCAAACTCCCAAACCTATCTGCCCAACACCAGCTAACCCACTCACAGGCAAATTCGTCCCACCCCTCTTCCACCCCAACGTCTACCCCTCGGGCACCGTCTGCCTCTCCATCCTCAACGAAGAAGAAGGCTGGAAGCCCGCCATCAACATCAAAGAGATCCTGCTAGGCATCCAATCGCTTCTCGACGAGCCGAACCCAGAGAGCCCAGCACAAGCCGACGCATTCAACCTGTTCAAAAAGGACAAGGCGGCGTACGAGCGCAAGGTCAAGCAGATTGTCAAGGAGAACCCGGCGCCGTAGTACGTTGTCAGAGCGCCAGGGGAAGAGCTACATATTGTCGGGGATGAGAGGGGGGGAGAGGTGGTGTACCGTGGGGTGAGGATGCCTTTTGGTTATATGTGATTGACGGTGAGTGAGGGCCGTTATGCAGGTTGGGTACGGGATGGTGTGGTCAGGCCTCGATGGGCTGCCGTGGATGATATGAGCAGGCTCTTGCTCAGCCGCTGCGGATACTGCTCAGGCGAGGTCGACGTGCACTTGCATTTTCTTTCTTTCTTTGCCCTTGACTTCTTGGTTGAGGCGCGCTTAGTATGGAAACGTCCTTTTGATGAGATACGGATCCTGGCGTTTGGGCGAGGTTCCCAAGCATTGTATGGGTGCTTAGATGGTGGGAGAAAAGCCGCATGTGGCTATGATACCTGACTTTCTTCTCAGTCTCCTGGCATATTGCGCATGGAGTAATATACACGATTGATTCATCTTTGTTGTATTTCAACGTGATATTCATGTGATCAGCTACACGAAGCCATGATTATCATAGCTGTGGATATACTCAGTATGATGCGGTGATCCCGCGCGAAAGCAATAAACACACGAGATGAAGGACTGCACGCAACGAAGCAAAGAAACATATATTAAACCCATCCCGGTCCCTCAGAAAACCCGGTTGATAAGAAGTCCAGCGGCCCTTTCGCCGCATCCTCACGACATGTGTCCAACAATCATCCCTAATAGTACAAGCCTCGGATCTTACAGATAGTCACCGCGACTCCCCAATCCAATTTTGTGTCCTTTGTTTCCTTTGTTCGTCCTTGCCTCGAGAACCCCAATATAGCAATACAGAAACGGCGACCTAGGTCTGGTGGTATAGCGCGTGCCGGTGTCGGTGTCGTGTCACACCCTTAGTATGGGCGGTATGCCGATCCGCCTCTTCCGCCACGGTATCCACCACGGTAACCGCCTCCTCGTGGAGCGCCGCCGCCGCCGCCGTAGCCACCACCGTAGCTACCACGGCCGCCGTATGGTGAGCCGCGTCCGCCGTATCCGCCTCGGGGACCGCCTCGGCCACCGCGTCCACCTCGTGTCATACCGGGGAGGTTCGTTCGCTTGGGGACGACCTATACGTGGGTCAGCTTGCGTTCGCGCATTCCGTGGAATGTGTTGTGTATCCCATACCTTTAGATTCCGGCTGCGGAATTGGCTGTTGTCAAGGACCAAGGCCTCATTGACCAGATGCGGTTCTGTGAACTCCACATACGCATACCTGCATACGCTCATTAGCGTTCCGATCTTTCTGCCAAACTCTTGCCAGGTAGCGAAAGATACTTTCGCCCAACTGTGACTCCAACAACACGTACGCGCTTGTACGCGCATGAAAGCAAATAAAAACTTGGAAATGCGCAGATCGTTCAAGGAAAACCTCCTCTTAGTACTGACCCTTTAGGATGACCTGTGAACTTGTCGAGCAATATGGTCACACGGTTAATGCTTCCGATGCTCTGGAAGTGTGCCTGGATTTCTTCGGGGGAAGCGCCGTAGTCGACGTTACCGACAAAGACACTGCGCGCGTCGACGTCTTCTTTGCTCTCGCGCATCTCGTGGCGTTCTAGGTCCGTCTCGCTCTGCATTTGGCGCAGCTTCTGGGCTTCTTCCTCCATCTCTTGTACGCGTCGCCTCATTGCTGAGATCTCTTCCTGCATTGCACTGTCAGCATGCTCTTCTATATCGGGACTTGTATGCGCGACAGTGGCCCGCTATCCTCGACAAGTCTAACGCGCGCGTTGTGTTGTATGGTATCGTACCTCTTCGTTGGGGTCTTCGGCGGTATCGAGGCGCTCATCCTCCTCGCGCTTCTGTTCGATAACCTCGGCGTCGGACATGATGATTTGGGTGTAGTTGAAAGTCTAGGAGCCACGTCAGTAAATGCTCTCATTTAACGGGCCGTCCATGACCTACCGGGCTAACGTGAATGTTCCGGGGGCGTGAATGGTAATTAGGTTGCGACCCTTGGGCGGTTGAATTTCCTTTTTGTTGTGATAAGATCAATCACGGAATGCGACGACGTGTAAATGACTGGTGCAGGGTGTGTAGGCTGAAAGGCAGCGGACGGAGGTGAAGGTAATGTTGCTCATACGAAATGACGGATGGCGCTGGGGAAGCTCGTAGCGCGACGCTAACAAGGCAGCGGAGCCTCACTTATGTAAGCACGGGCCAGCTGCGAAGCTGCGTCAGACTCACGACCAACGCCTTTGTTCCACTCAGTCATGTCATTGTCAACGCCTTTCACCATGGATCTCGAAACTTAGTTCATTCTTCTCAAAACTTTCATGCTTTTCTTGACCGGGCTTTCCCTTGTTCCATCGAAGTGGCTATCCAGCTCTTGCACTGCCTGCTCCAAACATTGTTCCACTTCCTTTCCATTCTCCCAACGCCAGACCTTTCATTCTCCGTCTTTATCCTCAGATGATACACACTCAACGATGTCGTAGTCCTCACGTTTGAGCTCACGATCGGCCTCCGGCAGCTTACTGAGTTGGTCCATCCTTTGGATCACACGAACCAGAAATTGCTGTGGCAAGTTATCAACCCACCCGGGGTGCCCATTACTCAGCTCTTCAACCCATCCCTTCAAACAGAATATATCTGTGGTAAGCCGGAGTAGAGGATCATTCTGTGGCAAACTCTCGCAGATCATTTCGAGGTCCTCGGCACTGAGAAAGCAAGGTGGCAGCCAATCGAACAGGACATCCATCAATGCGTTCTTCAAGGTTCCGATCGATAGATTTTCCGCTATCATGTAAACGTTCAGCATGTCCTCATCACTCTCCATGTCGATCAGAGCAGGAAGGCTCCTTTCATACATCCAGTCAACGAGAATGTCGAAATCCATGGTATCGAAATCTGCGGACTCGGAAACGTGATAGATTTCCGATCCGTCGGCAAGGCGGCTTCGAAAGTATCCAGAGTGGTATGTCAACAGCCGTTTGTGTAAGGTATAGTGTTTTTGCTTCTCGCGTAGTTTGAAGACGATGACGACGGTCTCTGATGCGGCAACGGCACTGTACGTCATGAGTATGGTTTCGAATAACGGAGATATACATGCTCAGTGACTTACCTTGCGCGAGGTCCGTTGGATTTCTTCATGGTGGCGCTTTGGAGGTGAGGCGTACCTGTTTCGTGTTGAATGGACGCAGATGTCGCTTGTAGTCTGCAAGGGTCGCTTTGGATAGTAGAAAAGAGCTTGGTGTAGATGGAAAGAGGTATGCAGGAATTCTACAAGACTTTCTACTACTTATATCACGATGGTTAGCGGGTCGCAACAGGTGAGAGGAGAGACATCTGTCTCTCTCACTTCAATCCTCCTTATCAGCGCTTCTTCTCATTCTTCAACTTTACCTACACGGTCAAATTTCGCAAAGTACAGGCGAAAAGTCAGGCATACCTATCGTTTGGGAAGCACTGCTTAAGTGGAAACTGGGACGTAGAACAGTAAATGCTGGCTCATATTAACGAACCCTGATATCATCTCACAATTGTCGTGCCTGCAAAACTAAACCCAGCCGAGGTATGTTTGCAAGAAACCGTTCTTTGAGCCCTTGACACTCGACGACGACTCATTCGTCTATCCACCAACCCTTGTACGCTCATTGTAATCTTCCCGCTTGAATGTTTGCACCGACGGTGGCTTCTTCCCGACTTCATTCATTCGTAACATCAGACGAACGAGGAACACCTGCGACAGATCTAAGGCTTCAGTCTTCTCGTCTTCCCACAACTTGTAAATCGTCTTTTGGGTGGACCACATGTCGACACAGAGTCGAATCAATGGGTCCTCCTCGGGCAAGTTACAGCAAAGCACAACAATCATCCCGCAACCCGGTCTAAACTGCTTTTTGGTGACGTAAAAGTCGAAATAGGTGTCCATAAGCGCAGACTTCAAGCCGGGAACCAATAGTCGATCTGCTAAGATATAGCTGCGAGTTGCGACCAATTTGTACTTGCGGAATGCCTCAAGGAATATGTCGGTTGTTACGGTACCGCGGTATATCCAATCAACGAAAACATCGAACGCGTCGATTTCGACATCAGTGATTGGGACAACGCCGTCGTCGGTTTCTTTGAAAGCGCCGGAAAGTGCGCCGCGAAAGTAGCCGGAGTGATGCTTGAGGAGTTCGGTATGTAGGATGTATTCTTTGCCTTCTGTACCGACTTTGACGATAACGGTGGGTGAGGTCGCCGCGATGCTGTGTAGGATTTAGTGGTAAGTTGTGCTATACTGCGATGGACATACCTAGGGAGAAGCACCACGTCGGCCGACGAAGGCTCTTGAGTAGCCATATCTGGGTAGTGTGTGGTGATGGTCTTCGTCCGTTGAGTAACAGTAGCAGAGAGGAAGAAAGGTCTCTGAGATACTTATCGCTTCAATGGACTGCGCGACTGTGAAGGTGAAAACTAAAACTCCTCACCTAGCACATTCTGATCACGTGTCGAATGTGAGCCTTGGTTTCAGTGTATCGCAACCACGGAACTCAGGAAAATCTCATCTCAACGACCAAAGTACACTACAATTATGTGCTGCTTATGCCTAGAGAACTGAGCAAAACTTCGCACTTGTGCGCCGTTCCTTATCAGGGTCTCTTCGAACAATTTGGTTCAAGACCACTTGAAAGCGTTCAGAGTCAGCCAAGCTCTGCACGTCTCATGCTCATATTAGGCTCGTCACACATTGATGGGCTTCAGGGTACCTAACCGTGGAATCGTATTGATACTATACGTACAGAATCGTGCTTTTGGCCCACTGGACCTTTTGAACGTAGCTTATTCGGCGTCCTTGGTGCATACGTGTTGCTTTAGAACTCTAAAGACTTTGAAACAAGCCGGATATAACTTGGTTGACTACAGCACAAGTTCTGGGGCTGATGGTGGTGCCACAGCCTGCGGTATACATAGTACCATAACCTAACAAACACACAGGTCAAAAGATGATGTAGGCTCCTGCCCTAATATTTTTTTCGAAGAATGGGACATAAGTTGTAGCTACCACTGGTGTCGGTAGGGAGTCCCGTGTGAACGTAGTGAGCGCACCCAGATATTCAGATCGTTGTTGTGATCGAGCGTCTACTCCGCCCCAGTTTCACCGCGATCCACGAAGTCCTTTCGCTTGAGCCCCCTGAATTTGTATGCAACCCTGCTTACTTCGTCGCCCACCACCTCGAATGTACATCTATGGTGAGAGCAAGTGTTGCGTGTATACCAAGTTGGTGACTCCATCCTAATCAACTTATCGCGCAAGCTGGTGATGCTTAAGCCGTCGAAGGGGGCGGTCGGTCGTGGAGAAATAATACCGATGGTCTTCAGTTGCTTCATAAGCGCACCAAGCAGCATGGAGCTACACTCGAAGGGACGAGGAGTCTCATATGTCTGAGTACAGACGTCCGTATCGCAATATTTGTCAATCCACTTGTGACAAACTTCTATGATCTGCGAAATTGTCTCTGTGCGTCGAGACTCTAAAGCTTCTGCTCGAGTTAGCTGATGGACTGCAAATCATTATGACGCACGACGTACGAAGGACAGCTGGTGGAATAGTCAATCCCATGTCTTGGATCTTCGCCCTGTTGTTTAACCGTAGCGCTATACCGGTGGTACTGTGAAATACCGTGTCCAATTTGAATACCCAAGAGACGTGCATCCACAGCATTAGGTCGCGATCATATGTACTTTTTATTTGGTACATTTGAGCGCTATTGGCCCACACATCAGCAATCAGGTCGAACGCTTCCCAGCATTGGTAATAGTCCACAAGCATGGCGACTTTGGCAAGCAGCTCCAGACTCAGCGACCTGGATACTTGGCGGAAGCGGAGATGAAGCATGTTCAAAAGTATAGTGAATGCTTCTGGGTCCCAATCTGCGGTGTCCATGTGGTAAAACCCATCGTCTGCTTTGTGGTTCTCGCTCCAAGACATAATTTCGCTCTTGAACTTTGGCGAAGCTGTGATCAGGTGATGGGCCGAAACCTGATACACAAAAACAAGGCCGTTCCGCATCGTCGCCCGAATCGTCTTGAATTTCTGTCCCCTGCCTCGATCTTTCTGCCAGCCTTCTCTTCTTCTGTGGCGGGCCTTCTACCTTCAGGTCTTGATCTGCGCTTCCATCTTCCTGGCCCTCTTCTTTGATGACAGACTTATTGGCTGCATCGCCATCTTCGGCTTCATGTTCCCAAACAGCGAAGGGCGCACCCGGGTTGCGTAGGGTAAGCAATACGTCCCCAGATTCGGCTATAACAACTCGTTCGTTCGCGTTCGCGGGTGGCGTCATGACGTTGGCGACGCGTCGCGATGTGGAAAGAAGACGTCAGGAGTGGTGATCCCCGCTTCCATTCCGGTCGCGCTAAGACGCGTCTTCCACGCGTTTCGTCAAAACAGCTAACCTCATACAAGCAAAAGACTGAACTGGTCTGCAGATGCAAACTACATCAAGAGAAAACCATGCAAGGTAGGTAACTTAAAGCTGATGTAGACTCTTGGGTGTTCTGTGTTTGCCTAGGCTGACGTGCCTCTGTGGACGCGTCGGCCATAACAGCAAGCACTACTATACTAACACACTCGCCTCACCTCGATGTCGTTTTAATAACTCATTAATGCATTGGCGCGGGAACGCGACAGGAAGCCTCATAATGCAGTACGCAAGCCACTACTACCTGACAACCCCGCGCGCATCCCTCTCCACGAGAACACGCCAGCTGGCCTAGAGGCTAAAGCTACCTAAGGTGTGTACGCCACAACACGCCATACGGCAAATAAGCTTCGCCATTTTACATTTGCCGGGAGTGCGGGTGATGCACATCAAGATCAGCAAAAAGCAAGTTCAAGGCTGCACGTGGTAAAAGCAACGAGAGCTAAAACCATCGTCTTCTCAAACCACTACGCACCCATTTAACCACTAGCTTCTCAACGGCGCAATGCACTAAGGTTTGACTGGTCCTGGACATGATTATCGCACCAGAAAGTGCTCGCCTAAGGCAACCTGCTCTAACGTCGACGTTTGGGTTTCGGGGTAATGTGTGGTGGTGACCTTGGGAAGTGGATGAGTTCTTCATGTGAGGATCAGCGTAGGCGGAGGGAAGTGTTCAGCCGCAACGTTTGTGAGGTGATGGAGACGTAGAGATCGTCAAAGTTCACGCACATACTATGGAGAGTTTTTCGACTGCGTGGACAAACACCCCGGGAATGAGAAGGGAAACACACGATGCGAAGATTCAGAGATGCTGAGAAACAAAGACTGCGACATTGAAGACTACAAGTAGCGAAGAGCCAATACCTGCAGACGATGGCGAGTTCAACATCATAAAAAGAAGCACAATTATCGGCAAATCTTGCACACCATCACCCTACCCATCTATGCACTATCTCACCATCCCAACACCACTCCCTCCAACACCCAAAAAATCTCGCCACACCTTCTCCCCACCCACCTCTCCATCTCAGCTGAAGCTCTGCGCGTCACACCAGATCGCCCATCCATCCAACATCTCATTATCGATAAACCTCCGATCGGACCGACTTTCACCTCCCCGAAGCGCAATTCCCAGCTTACCGCCATACTTTCCCACCTTCCACCCTTCCCCTCCCGTCTCACGCAACGCACTACCTAGTTCCTCTTATCCATGGCCATCTTTTCGGACCTTCAGCCTCACATGCAACACGCATCACAATCCCCGACAATCCAGCCCCCAGCCCCCGTAATCCCATCACCCACATGACCACGTTCTACTCATGCACAAGCACCATCACCAGCGCGCAATCAAGTCGTAACTCCACATAAGGCCCGGAGAATTTTTTGCTCAACCTAGGAAATGTGCCTGGCAGGCTGGCGCAGCTATCACAGCAGCCAGCGCCCCCACGGAGATGCATTGCCCAGATAAGTTACCCGGCGATGTAGCGTGCGACACAGACGGATCTAGACGCGCGACTAGTGTCGCTGTGCCCGGTGGTACTTTGTGACAATTGACATTTGCGCTGAGCGATTCAATTACAGTAGTAGTGTTACCTTTTGTTCGGCCGTAACAGCTGCGTGGGGTGGACAGGGTGGTAGTACTGTACGTACACATGAGGCCGAAGAGATGTCTTCGGTGGTTTTGTGTTTCAGGGCTGTGGGGTGAGGTGGTGGTCGCAGGGAGGTTCCTTGGGGGAAGTGCATAGGTGTGCGGGAGGTGAGGTGGAATGGATGGCGGGCCGAAGGGGAGTTGGGATGACGTAGGGTTGTGATGCGTGGCTGTTGGTGTGGATGGAGGGTTTGCTGAGAAGATGGTGTCAGTGTTATTGCTGGAACTGGCGAAGTATGCGTATTGTGACTGTGGTTGTTTGTATGTGTTTTTATTGGTTTCGAGATGTATATGCATGACCATCTAGAGCTGCCATTTTTGCGGGGCTGTCGACTGAACATTCGTACTCAACCCATTGTTTCTTTGCTCCTCACTCAGCGGATCAAAGCCCACCGTGAACTGTGGTCTCCTCGGATGTGACTCCTCGTCATCATTCGTCAACTCTTGTGTGCTCGTCCCGCTGCTTTTGATACTGCACGGCCTGTCGTCCCCCTTCATGTGCTCCAGCTCGTAGGTAAGACCGTAGTCGTCGACGCGCTCCTCCACAACCTGGACTTCGTAGCTGACGAAGATGGCGCTGAGCGACTTCTCGATGATAGGCCAGAAGATAGGCATGGAGGCGCAGATGATGGCGAGATCGATTTCGAGGCAGGTGAGGATGATGAGAGTTGGTGACCACCAGGTGTAGTCGACGTAGGGGTAGGTTGCGCCTTTGGTTTCGACGATGCCGTGGAGTCGCCAGACTGATGTTCCGACGACGCTGTGAGTATGTTAGCATGGAATGCTTGGGCCGGGTGGCATGAGCGACTTACACAGCTCCAAAGGTGAATACGCCAGCCATTGCGAACACGTTCTTGGATCGCAGGTTCGGTGTTCTGAACAACACCATGGGCGCAATGAAGATGGAGATATCGAACAACATGTTGGTGGCCGCTTGCGCTTTGTACGTAGCGATGAAGCTATCAAGGTCTCCGAGTCCGAAACCGTAGCAATTCGCAGATACAGTGCGGTCCCAGTACCCGCGCACTGGAAAGCAAGGAAACCATGCGGTGATTGAAAAGGCAATACCCCAAAGAGTCACAGCGACAAGGAGGCCAATGCAAATCCATCGCATGAGTCCAGCCTTGAAGATGCGGAGGTACTGGAGCAATAGAGCAATCTTGATGACGCCGCAGTTGGTGACGTATATGGCCATTTCGAAGTAGTACAACTGGCTTGGTTAGCAAGTGGCACCATCTAGTTGAGGAACAAGCATACCCTCAGATATTCTACTAGACGGTTGTAGCCAATGTATAGCATGTGCTCACCCAGTCCCTGCTTGACAGCTACTCATGTTAGTCGAGATCATACCGCAAGCATGGTAGACCACCTACAAAGACACATTACGACAGTGGCTGCCGTGTTCAACGACTAGATTGAGTTAGCTTCATGTCAAACACGTAAAAACTGTCAACGGTGAACGTACCTGAGCAAGGAACACAAACGCATCATCCCAGCCCAATTCCTTGACGACTCTGATGCGGACATACAGACGGAAGAAAACTGCAAACCATGCTATGATCTATCTGTGAGGTTAGCAGATGGTACATCGAGAAATATCACGACATCGTACCAAGAAAGTGAGCGTAGTGCCGAACATCGTCGCCCTGCGATTCGACAAGGGCAGCTCCTCATCTGGATCCGGTGCATGCAGCACCATATCGGTGTACATCTGCTCCCATGTCGACATCGTGAAGAACGTCGTACCTGAGTAAAGTGGAACGCCAGCGCCGGCGCTGCTTCGAAAGATGCAGAAACTATAAGGTTGGCGAACGACCCACGCCGCAGGGCGGGAACGCAAGCCCTAATGACCTGACAGGATACCGTCTGCCGCCTTCTCCCACGAGGCTACGGTTGACGATTCAGGGCCGTTGCCAAGCTGGGTTCATGCCGTCCACGCAAGACTAACGCAGGTGGAGACGTGTTGGAGGCTCAACGCTAGGTGATAAGCGAACTGCGATTAGCGGATGCTTGCATTTGACAGGTCCTCGCCCAAACTTTACGCAGGGGTACCGCTGGGAGAAACGCTTTCTGGACGCCGGATTTCTGGCCTGAGGGATCGCGCCACGGGCTGCGCGTGCGGCGCGCGAGAGAAGGTTCCACGGCGGTGAGCGCTGGCGTTGCTTTTAATCCGTCCATGTGTGCGGTACCCGGCTTCCATACACCACCCCGTTACCACTTGCTGTAATTGTTCTGCCAAAAGAACGGAAGTCGAGGTCCTTCTTTGCTTCGACGCTTCCATCCCGCGTCCCGTGGCAGTGTGGACTTTTCGGGGCTGTTACGCCTCATCGCCCCTGACTCCAGTATATGTACAAGGGTACCAGGAGTGACATGTACATATCTGCCGTCTGCCGAGCACGACGAACGCAGGTTCGAGGCTGAGGTACTCGCATGTAGCCAGCCGCAATAATCGTAAGTTTTGAAGCAAACGCAAAGATTGGCTGAATGCGCATCCCCCTGCGGAATCCTTCGCAAAGAGCACTGGCCATTGATATCATCACCAGTTTAATCCTGCACACAGGGACGACCGCCACAGATCTTCAAACACGGCCAGGGTGAAATTTCCGGGCCAATCGTTAGCCTCCGACGCCAGATGACTCGCTGATTCATCTCGTCGTTCTTCTTTGGGTGTCGCGCTAATCGCAATCGATCGGCGCAGGATTCTGTCTCATCTCTTGTGCTGGGATCCCGACTAATCGGCAAGGTCAACAACAATGCTATGTATATGTATCGGTGCAGGATCCTCGGATTCGCGACATGACACACTTGCCATTGTGTTCCTTCGATGGATCCTCCGACGCGGCGTCTCCGTTGTTCTGGTGCAACCGTGACGAGATTGGCGGGAAACAACGCCGAATCTCGTGTGTCTATGCGTCACCACGATACGCGACGAGATCCTGCATCCCGAGGTCGCTTGAAGGAGGAAGAATGGCGAGATGACTTTCACATGCATACCAGATGTATGACTGCCATGCAAATATTGAGGCTGAAGAGATGGAAAGGATCAAAATCGGAATTGGCATCGGAGACGCGGGATGTGGAGGCACCGACTTCGTGCCGATTTTCCACCTCTCCTCGTCACGTGCCATTACACTACTTTCCTTCAGACGTTTCAAGAATATCGTAAAGGTAAGGACATGATGCTCATCCAAATCGATGGCACTACCAGTCTATACTAACAGTCGTTCTATTGCAATATCGGACTCGTTCGGTCCATGAGAAATGAGGTGCGGCCGGCCAGCTTCGGCTCTCAGTCGTTTCCATCATTGCTGTCGATGCAATACCAGCATAGACCCAGGACGCGCCCGCCCACTAGGATAACAGCCCGCTTGAACCTTCTCTACTGCTGCATTTATTCAGATACGCTAGTTCCAACCCTTAGCGGCCTAACGACTTTGCGGAAACCCTACTAAAGTACTATTACGTAATTACCTTACAGGTACATAGACTCTTCTTTCTTAGTAGTTAGCACCTTAGCTTTTATAATAATAATTTAATATACTATATACTTTATAGTTTAGTAGCTACTTAAAGCTTACTATTATTCTTTATAATTTAACTTAGGCTATTATTTTTAGTACTACTACTACTAGCTAGCGCACTTAATACTCTTATATAAGCGTCTCTACGCTATAAACTATATTTTATAACTTTTATAATACTACTACTATAATACTATAAATAAGTTAAGTATAATAGTATAAGCTATATATTTTAGTAACTTTTATAACTTATTATATACTATATAACTACTTCTCTTTATAACTAGAGTAACATTTTTTTAAAAATAACTTTAATAATAAAATTAAGCTAAATACTAGCTTATATAAAATAATTATACTAAATAAAGCTTTATACTATATAGTTCTTTTAAGTATATATACTACTAAATCTATAGTAGATAATATTAGTAATAGTAAGTTTTTTTATACTTTACTAGTATAAATTATAACTACTATAAAACTATAATTTATATTTACTAATACTTTAGCTACTACGTAAATCTTAATACTATAAACTACTTTTTAGAAAGTTATAACTTTAAAGATAGTAGACTCTAACTTTATAAATAAGCTTTTCTACTTAAACTTAGTAGGTATATACTTAGCTTAGTAGAAAAAACTACTATTTATATTTTTACTAGAATAAAAAGCGCTCTACTATCTACTTTATAAGTTCTTTTCTATATACTACTATAGTATTAAATACTCTTTCTAATAATAGTAGTAATTAAATTATACTTTTTAACGCTTACTCTATTAGCCTATAGATTTCTAATAAATATAATTATTTTTTCTAAAGTACTATATTTATACTAATTACTAGTACTAACTTTTACTTAATTTATAACTACTATCTAACTCTTTACTAATATTAGAGAGCCTAGTCTAATACGCCTACTAGCTCTCTCTAGAGATACTATTATCTATACTTATAATATTATTATATTTATTAAAGCTAACTTTTACTACTTAACTATTATACTATAAGTTTTATAGATAGTATAAAGTATTATTAAAACTTTTAAAGTTCTAAGCTTTTTTTAAAGCTACTTATAAGTAGATATTATTTTTTTAAAAGTAGAAACTTAGTTTATTTCTAGTTTATACTAACTTTTATTTAAAAATAATCTATAGCTAAACTACTTTTCTATTTAGCTTTTTTACTCTAAAAAGCTATATAAAGCTAGTAAGAATTTTATAAGAAAAGTTAAGTTTTTTAAGTTTACTACTAAGCTATATACTATAAGCTCTTATTACTATAACTAGATATTAGTATATACTATACTTATATTACTATCTACTCTTAGTAACTAGTAACTACTTTAAGTAAAAACTTACTAAAAAACTTCTTTAAAATCTTAAAGTACTTATAGTAATATATTACTTATTAGTAAGCTTTACTAGTTTTATACTTAAAGTAGTTTACTTATAAAGCTAAGGTTTACTTACTTAAACGTACTACGCTCTTTTAGCTATACTATCTTATAACTATTTAGCTATACTTTTTTATAAGTATAAAGCTATACTTTATTATATATAGAGTTCTAAGTACTTTTATAGTAACTAGTATATCTTTCTTAAAGTAAAGCTCTATCTAAAAACTATACTACTTCTAACTCTACTACTATAATTAATTTTAAAAATATTTTATCTAAATAAGTTACGCTTATATAACTTTTTACTAAGAAAGTTTATAAGTAAAGTAGTAAAAGAAAGATAGTCTAGTAAAATACTAAATCTACTCTTTTAGAGTATAACTTATAGCTATAGTAGTTTAAGAAATAAATCTTTTACTAGTACCTAGTAATAGACTAACTATACCTTTTTTATATACTACGCCTTAAGTATTTTAAACTAAAACTAATCTCTATACTACTTACTAGATTTATAGCTATTAAGTATAACTAGATAGAATATTATCTATCTACTTTAATAAATTTAAATATAATACTACTTAGACTATAACTATTTATATAACTATAATAAAAAAACTACTAGATTTCTAAAGCTACGTATCTACTACTAATAAACTTAAATATAATACTACTTAGACTATAACTACCTCTATAACTATAATAAAAGAACTACTAAGTTTCTAAAGCTATATATCTTCTAGTTAAAATAAGTAGCTATTATAATATTAGTAAATCTACTACTACTACTACTAGCCTATAAAACTAGATACTTTAACTTACTTTTTATAATACTTCTCTAAGCTATTTATATTAGCCTTTTTTTTATAATACTTTATAGAACTATAATAGTGTAAAGTTTTTCTTTACTAGAAGTAGTATACTTACTAGCTTACTATAATATTACTATAAATTTATTAGCTAGACTAAAATAATAAATATATTTATAACTTTTAAATATAAAATAGTAGATATACTTAGTTAGTATAGTAACGCTTTCTAAATCTAGTATATATACGTTCTATAATATCTATATACTAGACTTAGCTATAGATATAGTATTTATAATATAAATCTATATATAACTAGAGCTAATAGCTTAGTATCTATTTCTACTTTTAATATAAATAGCGCTTCTATTATTAACTTTATAGTTAAGTATAACTACTACTAGTAAGCTAGCGCTATATTATAGTAGCTCTATTTTTTTATAATATAGTTTAGTAGTAACTTTATAGTATAGTCTAACTACTTTAGTCTATACTTTTAGTTAGGTTTTACTAATAGCTAATATACGCTTACTTTATAAGAAGTAAAGATAGCTAAAAATAATACTATTATTAAAGTAATAAGTAGCTCTTTTAAGTTTTAAGCTAATATAATTAGTTATTTTTACTCTAATATAAAATACTAAGACTACCTAAATAATATTACTAATATTTTTAGTAAAACTTATTATAGGTATATTTAGAACTTTTTTAATATAGCTAAAACTATTATTACTTTTAAAACTATATCTAAATATACTATATAAAATAACTTTTACTAGTACTTTAAAAGAAATACTTAACTTTAGTACTAGTTTAATTTTAGTATAAAACGCTACTTTAAAGCTATTAGAGAAGATAAACTTAATAAATAAAAGAAGAAGCTTACTTTCTTTTATATTTAACTAGTAGAGGCTA